GGAAGAGACAAAGCATATAACGGGCACGTATGCTCCTTAGTTTTCGCTCCAGCCGTTCTCTTTAATGAGGGGAAGATCTGGGCAGCTGGTGGTATAGGATTTGTCTCGCATGGCTATGAAGTTTGCGCGTTTGATGGCAGCATCTCACCTTCCATGTTCCTGAGTCAAAAGAGCTCCCATCGAAGTTCAGGAAGGGTGGTAGGTCCCGCTATGCAGTACACTTGGGAGACAAATTTCTCTAGGTCTTTAACTTGAGTTGGCAGTTCTCCGTTGGCTAACTGGTTTTGGATAAGACCCTCACCAAGCTCTCTGAAACAGTCGATCGCGAGATCGTCGTTATCGAGTGCCATGTAAGCTTTCACCCAGGAATTCTTCGTAATACCAACAAACTTCTCTCCCCAGTCGGCTCCGGTGAAGTAGTGCAATCTAATCAGACCTTGAAACTTGTGTATTCCAATCGCTTGGACTCGCTGAGTAACATCAATCTCTCTGTAGTTTGCACCCTTATTGCCTGTCAAAAATTCAGGCTATTCAGGTTTCCATGACGTCCACTGGAAACCAAGTTGAGTAGCAGAACTAGTACGTCAGTGTCCGGAGAGTATACACAAATCTCTTGCGACAAATGCTCATTTAGTGAATGCAACACCTGGTTAGGGATCAGCAGGTGTTGCGTTCACTAGATGAACGCAACAAAATAAAACTACATTTGATTTTGTTGTTGTAAACCATGACCAGCTTGATGGTTGTGTTGCTGGAGAAGCGCGCTGATAATCCATTGGCGAACAAAGTGACCGGTCTCAGCTTTTTCATAGCATCCCATAAGGAGTGCTTAGAAGATTGCAACAGTCTGTCTTCAGCAATGCTTCAAACCGCTTTTGGCCCTTCTCTGCGTTGCACAGAATATCTTACTTTGCTTTTTCAGGCACAAGAGCGGACGACGACACACTCTTCAAGGGAGACTCAACTGTAAATGGGTTGCCTTTGCAGTGCAGCTCTATCGACTGGCGGAGTTTCATGGCATTTTTTCGCGTCCTTACAGCAACATCCCAAGAGAGCTGATAGTGCTCGTTCCGCTCAGAAACCTCGGACACTTTAGGAAAGCGTTTTATTGCTTTACCATACGGTAGAGATGCAGTGACGTGACAAGAAGGTAATCTAGGGTGGCTTCGTCTTGACTCAACCCGAACATACCTCCGGGGCGCTTTAATACTTTGATCTCCTGTTCTAGCGTCTGATCTGTGAACAACCTTGTGAACGGGATCTCTGACTTCGTTACAACGAAATCCTCGGACTTCAATGCCTCATATGTCATAAGGTCCTCATGCTCGAGTGCGTTCATCTGCGCGAGGTAGACTGGCATTAGCCAAGCGCAGTTGAGGATATCGTGCGTGAAGAAGTACGTTATCAGGCATTTCATCGCTGCCAGGTAGCCTTCCCAGTCCCCAGAGCGGCAAGCATGGATGAGCTGTAACAGGTTGTACAATTACTTGAGGTACTCTATCATAAATCGCGCAAGATGTCAAGTCCTTGTTCTTCACGGTCTTGTGGTTTGACCTTTTCAGAGTACCAGGGCTGGATGTCGTCATACATGTTAACCATTTCTGGACTACGTTCGTGGAGGGCCTCTTTAAAGGATACGAAGATACGAATAGTGTTTCACTGATTTTATCCAGATGTTCACCATTCTCTGCGTTAGCCTTGCCTAAATAAGATGTGTTAAGATGTGTTGGACGGAAGATGCAGCTGCTATGCTTGCTCAACATAATAATAATACAACTAATTTAAGTAATCTTGAACTTATTTTTTAACTAATTAGACGTATAAAACATATTTTTAATTATTAACTACCTATATATTTTATACAATATTAGTATTTTATATTTGATATTTGATATTTGTATTTATGTTAGTATCCCCAATTAGTTATCTTTAGCTAAATACTCCGACACTCAAATAAAGTTTATGTATGTATGTATGTTCCATTACAAACTTGCCATGTTTTTAATTCGAAGCGACGCAAATTAGTATTTGATTCGGCGCATATGAAATTCGACGTCTAAACCAGGCCTAAGTGAAAAAAACACAGCCGTAAAACTCCAAACTCTAGGCGTGTTTCGCAATTTTAAGTCCTGAAAAGAAACTCGTCAGTTCGAGCAGCTTATGTAATCATTCGTTACTTAGGGTGCGTTTCTTTGTTAAGATCATTCCCCGGCATTGCATTGTGCATCCCTACTGCGCATAATTTCACACGTGATTAGTGCGCGCGCATTAAAAAATGGCGGCTTTTTCTTTACGGCTGGACCTCACCATAGAGGTAAATCGTCATTTCCTCGAAAAAAGTACAGTGACCTATCACTTTTTTCTGTTGTTTTGAATTGAATAATAAAGTTCTCTGTGTAAAATAAATATGAACCAATTCTCAGTGTAGAACAAGAAACAATCGTCGGAAACGTTAATTTAACAAGCAATTGTGACTGTCATCATGGTGCTATTATTTAGCTCTTATTAACCGAGCTAAGTCGGTCTGTATGGGAGAATCTTGACCGAGGTCGTGAGTACAGACCGGTCGCAGTGAGGTCTGTACACACGACCGAGGTTAAGATTCTCCCATACAGACCGACTTAGCTCGGTTAAGAAGATGTTTATTATATGGCACAAAAGAAAACTTGAATTCGTTTAATGTAACTGGTTTGCTGACATTTTGCTTGCGAACGGCTTTATCAGGCTTTCTGGCACTTCCATAAATGATTGAGAGGAAAATAAAAGAAAATGGTGAACATTTTTGTATTTTAGTTTGCTANTAACTGGTTTGCTGACATTTTGCTTGCGAACGGCTTTATCAGGCTTTCTGGCACTTCCATAAATGATTGAGAGGAAAATAAAAGAAAATGGTGAACATTTTTGTATTTTAGTTTGCTACTCTCTCAACGCAAAATGAAACTGGTCTAGATGCCGGTCTAGATGGGAAAATCTAGACCAAGGTCAATATCGATTTCAGCCAATCAAATTCATGAATTCGGTAGTTCCTAGTCCTTGTGAGACACAGCCATATAATAAAAGGATTTATTGGGTACAAACAAGGTGCTGTTGCTTCTAACCGAACACGGGGATCCCTCATTTTTATTTCAAAATTTAAGTTCCTATAATATAAACAATCAATAGGCAAAGTTTGACAAAAACGTCAGTGCAGGTTCTATTTCAGTGGACTGACCTTAAGAAAATCCAAGATTGGACTGTTAAATCCGAAAACGAATTTTGCGTTTCTTTACTGAACAGATCAATCCGAGATCACTCAGATCATGGTGTATCAAAGGAACCGAAAAATCCTTGCCCAGAGTGGATTCTTCGGTTCCTTGATCCGAGAGATCCTGGATTAATCTGTTTAGAAAAGAAACGCAAAATCCGTTTTCGGATTTAAGAATCCAATCTTGGGTTTTCTTAAACAAACGCACCCTAAAGGTTTATTAGAAATGCACTGTTTTCCTTTAGAAGTACGAGAGTTCGAAAATCCAAGATGGCGGATCCAAGATGCTGCGACCAAAATAGTAGGTAGTTAATCCTGACGTCATCGCTGGTTGCCATGGTAACAAATCTAGGTCATACGACGAATGTCATCAAGAGCAAGCTTCATGTAAAGTTTGGTCTTTGTACCTTGGATCTAAGAGCAAAGACATTCGCAAAACCTATTTTTGCATCTAATTAGCATTAATTAGCATAAATTTAGTCCTTGAGGAGCCAGAAACATGGGAAGACGGAATCGGAAAATTTGAACCTTTTCGGATTATTCGACCCAAAATTAGTGCAAAATAGCGAAAAATTCAATTTCGGCACGAAAGTCCTACGGGAGCAATTTTTCGGACATACCGGACCGCACTATCTGGGCCGCCTTTGTAAACACCGGACTGAGACGTTTTTAAAATGAGTTTCGTAGCGATCGATATTTGTCCCAGCCTTATCATGTGCTAATGGAAGGACTTACGACTTTACGACAAATATATGGCAAGGACAACATATGGGTTCTTGGTTTTGTAATAGACTACGCTTGAATTTCTATGCTTTTGCATTACGCGGCATTTACATGACGAGCAAGAGAGCTGTCATGAAGCAAAACTCAGTGACGTTTCTATTGGTTTCCGGGCGCCATGCTGGTGCACCAGCATGGCGTCTCCATAAAAATTTCTCCGCATATATTGCATAAGAAAAATTGCCGTGACCTGACTCTTCGCGAGAGTCTTTGCATATTTACCTTCTTTCTTTTCAAGATTCTGGACTTAATCTATTGACCTGGTTTGAGTGTTATTTTGATCTATTTTGGATGACGTGACAATTAAAATTAGCAATACAATAATTAGATGCCCGAACGATGTGGCGGCGGGGTTCTGTGACGTAATCTGTATTAGCTTACTTTTTAAGTTAAGCTAGAGTTGAGGAGAATTTACTATTCCATGACAATATTATAGGCTATCTGACTTAGGAACTCTCATATGCCGGTTGTTTGAGATTTTGGCGGGAATTTCGCATATAATCAGTCATTGTGTGTTTCATGATACCTCTTTCTATGCCATGCGAAGACAATTTCAAAGTGCCCATAAAAAGAAGAAAGAATCGGTCGCTTTGAAGTGGAATGATCTCGGCGAACAAGATGTGATAGGGCAAGGGTCGTTTGGAGCCGTTTTTATCACAAAAGCCAGGAACAAGGACGGAGATTCGGCCCGGAAAGTTGAAACAGTGGTTGTCAAGAAATCATCCGCTTTTAAAGAGTCCCGCTTTTAAAGATTCCCCCTTTTTAAAGATTCCCGCTTTTAAAAATTCCCCGTTTTAAAGATTCCCGCTTTTAAAGATTCCCCGTTTTAAAGATTCTCGCTTTTGAAGATTTCCAATTTTAAAGATTCCTGCTTTAAAAGATTTCCAATTTTAAAGATTCTCGCTTTTAAAGATTTCCCATTTTAAAGATTCCCTCTTTTAAAGGTTCCCCATTTTAAAGATTCCCCATTTTAAAGATTCCCTCTTTTAAAGATTCCTCATTTTAAAAATTCCCGCTTTTAAAGATTCCCATTTTAAAAATTCCTCGTTCTCCATTCCCATTTCCCTATTCTCCGATTCTCCGATTCCCCGATTCCCCGATTCCCCGATTCCCCGTTTCCCGTTTTAAAGATAGCCCCTTGTGAATACTTGAATTTTCTACTTTATCTTCGACAACATCTTTCTGTAATAATTTCATTCGTAAACAATCTCGGTGAATCACTCGTCTCACTTGTGATATCTGAAACTTGGTTTATCGAGAATCGCTTCATAAACTTGTTTTTGTCTTCCATGCTCCCCTATTGTCTCGGTATAAAAGGGATGCGATTTCGTTTAAAGGAGCTCTATGTTCATAAGACTGCCTGATGGTCATCATTTTCATAAAAGTGAAATTCTGTGCAGTGCGACCTATTTCACTACATCGTAAACACGTAGTACTTCCGTCCCCGGTCCAGGAGGTGGAAGAAGTCGGACATTTAAGAATGAACCCCTAGCACTTTGATTCCTACGAGAGAAGGGAGAATACTGGCGGGAAAACTGGGACCCTGGAGAGACCTGAACTAACACATATTTGCAGACTTTCAAGTCTCCTGTTATAAAATCATTTAGTAATTTTCTATGGTAATTTACAATGTCTTTCATCCTAGAGTTCATTCGTCCATGAATTACAGTTCACAAACTCATATTATCCTCACTAAAAAAAATCCAGTAAGAAAAGGTACCAAATCTGCCCCCTCCCGTGCTATTTCACGACATTCCATGACATAGAAAAGATTTGGAAGAAGTCAAAATTTGGTTTAAACAATGATCCTTTATTACAAAAAAAAAAAAAATAGATTACATGTTAGCAAGAAAGGCTATTCTTAAAATGTAATATAAATGTAACACCAAGTTGTGCAACCGAAAAAAATAGACTTCTATACATTTGTTTACAGTAGTCACAATTTGTCAACCAGTGCCAACAACATTTAAGTCATTTTTACAGAACTCTCTTTTGATAAAGAAAGGATATGTTGAAGAAGCAGTGCTGAAAATATTTTTTACCACAGAGCTGGAAATGTACCCTTTCAAATACATGTATCTATCTCAGCCAGACATTACCAATTTTGTTAGATGTCAATAACTAAAGGGAAGTTGCATGCAAAAAATAATCTGAGGACTCAATCCATAGACATACATGAAGTAATAAGTTACTGGGCAAACCATGGATTCATATGATTTAAGATTTTAAGCATGATTCAAAGGAAACATGGTCTTCAAATAATATTAAGATGAATGAAAGCTATTAAAGTACTCAGTCAAGATGCGGAATCCTACTGTAAATTTAGTCAGCAATTTCACAAATTTGGTTGGACGGTGACCACCTGTTATTTCCAGCACTGAAGTAGAGGAAACTGCATCTTGAGTCAACTGTTTTGTTGTCCTTGTTGCTCTAGCTTTACACAAATAGAAGCCAAACATGTCCAAAGCACCTGTGATATTTTTTGTCTTTGATTTACAAGAGTAAAGTGAAGATGACTAAAAACAATTTATATTTTCATCATGCTTCTTTTTCTCCAAGCAATAGTAAAGCTCTATCACAGATGGCCTACTATCTAAAACAGAGAAAAATTGTAACCGCACTCAATTGTTTTATCCTCTTAAACAATGCTCCCATCACAAATAACACAATAAGGTTAATAATATTGTTGAACACCTTATTTGCCAGAGGCTATTTCAGTGCTTTGTAATGCAAACTGGGAAAGCACAATTCAGTCTTTCCTGATATCATGTTGCTCTACATATAACCAGTTTATTTCAGGGGAGGATCTCTCTTTAAATGCTCATATTCAACTAAGGCCTCAGATAATTGCCTCCTTAGTGTAGAAACCTTTTCTTCTTGTTTCTTAACATCTGCCTCTGTGATAATGAAAGGTGTACACAATGGTTGCTCAGCATTTAGCCATACCTCTGGGTGTTTATCCAGAGCTATTGCAGATCTGTCTTGCCCTTTAACACTTGCATTGTTATGTAGATTGGTCACCAGAGAATGAATTAAACTCCTCTGACTTATTCCAGGCCCAACACTCTTTATTTGAGTTGGTAAGCGAAAACACCTAAGCAAATTCTCATCCATAGAACTAACTGAAATCCCTTGTAGTCGTTTTTCCCAAAACAACTGCTTTGGTTTGTCCTTTTCAGTTCTTGTATTTGGTGCATCATGTTTACGTTTCTTTTCCTTTGGAGTTGCCAACACCATGGATGGGTAATACGTAACTTGTTCCTTTGAAAATGATTTGGTCAATTGACGCACAGGGGCTGGAATTATTCCTCCATTTAAGTCTCGTCCAAAGCTCTGGTCTTTCTCTCCTTGTTTGCGCTTGCTTCGTCGACAGAAAGTACCACTTCTGAAATCAAAGTTTCCCAGGTCCAAGTCTGGAAGATGTTTTTCTAGTTGAGGTTTAGAACGGATTTTCTTTCCATCTGGACTGTTCAGAAAAAAAGCAAATGAGTATGTGAACACATTATTCTCAAACTCAATAATAATTCATCAAGTTTAAAGTGCCTATGAAGTAAAAAATAATTTCTGCTTATTTGAAAGGCTTTTCACAGTAAAGAAGAATAGTGTTTTGCTTTTTAGAATATCTTATTTTGTTATAGAGATATTTACATTTATGCAAATGAGGAAAGTGATGACGTCATAGGTGGTTCTACTAAACCAGTACAAGCACAACCAGTACAAGTACAACCAGTACAACACTTAATCAAGAATATTCGGTTTTTTTTTTTGGTGATGTACATTTCTGGTGCCAAGTTTGAAGAACACTGCTCCAATATTTCTGGAGATATTCTTGATTCAGTATTTTACTGTTTAAGTGGAACTACATGTATTTATGACGTCATCACTTTCCTCATTTGCATGATACAAAAACGTGAATATCTCTAAAACGAAAAAAGATAATCCAAAAAGGAAAATGCCATTCTTCTTTACTTTGAAGAGCACTCTGTTCTCTGTCCAAAATGAAGATTTGAAGGGACACATGTCCTGTTAAAGAAGAAAAATTATTTCCAGCCCTGAAAATCCTGTAAATTGCAAAATATGCAAAGTCTACAATCTTCTTCATTCATTTGATGTCTGTAATTATCATTTATTTGTCATTTGTTCGGCTAATAGCCTGAAAAATTGCCAGTTTTATAGTTAAATGGTCTTTCAGTCATTTACATAGCATGTTGAACGATGGCATGTTGAAAGATAGCTGAAAGATGTCGCCTATGCATGTAACACTGAAAGCAGGTGTAAGTGACTCCACCATTTTCTCTTGGTGACCAATAATCAAGAAAGAGCGACTTTATTACCCTGAAATGTTTACAAAATCATAATTCACTTACAAGCATGAACTGTTGGTGGACATTGCAAGAACTGCTTCTAGTCCTGAAGCTGCATTTTTGTTAATTTTGAAGTCATTGTACCTTTGATTAAGTTGGTTCACCAACTTCAAGGACATGTTAAAGTAACATTGCCAGGGAAATAAATTATGTGTTACTCAAAAATGCGAAGTTAAAGTGATTCAAAATACAAAATTTTCACAAAATCACGTAACTTAAGTGTTGTGAAATATGAGTTAATAGCCTGTATAGAATAACTTATTGAGAACTAACTTGCTTCAAATTTGTTTGTTTCACTCTCATACGCCATATTTATCACATGCGCTCATTTTTGGAAATGCAGAAACGATGTAAAAATTCCTTATTCTACCTTGCAACTGATGGTATTCATTTGAATGTGTCATATTTCAGGGCCAAATTGCATATTTGACCTAGCCTGGATGTCTAAATGACACTTAAAAACCTACATAAGCTTTAATATTTACATAACAAAATTCATAATGTTAATTCATTATAGTCTTTGGTTTCTGAGAAAACAAAATTTTATAGAGGACACAGTTTCAAACAAATTAGCAAACAACAAACACAGCAATGTGACACAATGTTGTTTATTTCCTATGAATTTCACAAGAATGACATCACTAACCCCTGAAATACTCAGTCACATCAAATTTGGTTGCTATGTTTCGTCACTTAAGGTTACACAATACCTTTGCGGGTGTCTTTCAGAAAAAAAATCATACCAGTGTTGTTTTTAAGGAAACTACCACAAACTGTACATCAGTAGAAAGGTTTATCAACTGTAGATCTTGGAAAAAATATCTGCTAATTTGGCCATGGGTTTCTTAAGAAGAAAGAAGCCCAGAAACGGAAAACAGCCGATTGTCATTTGGCCAAATTAATCGGATATCAAATGCAAGCAGTAATGTTGTTAAGTACTGCACAGTGTTATCAAGTGTGTCAGGGTTTTTCTGTATTCATATTGGTTATCTTTTTATCGACCTGTAAAGTTACACTATCAAATAATTTGCCGACCCTCTTACGTTTGTGGCCATCAGAAGAGAAATATCCGTGACAAAAAACTCCCTGGCGTGCACTTTTGTTCCTTGATGCTTAACGAATGTTCTAGCCAAATTTTGTGAAAATATTTCAATTCTACATACCCTATTAATTCATTTCAAGAGATGGTATTCTCACAAAAAAACTACTGCAAGTTTTTGATGTTTGAAGAGTAGTAAACATGTCACACCTTTGCTCAGATGTATGTCAACAGAAAATGCCACCAGCCAATGAAACTATGGCACCCACAGCGTTCACAGTAAGGAGTATTAGATAGAATGGAAGGTTACATATATTTGATCGGCAAATTTTGCAACTTCTGTTTGCAAATTTTGGTAGTGACCAAAATGCTGTAGTTCTTGTATTTCGGCTATTAAATTGTGCAATTTCAAAACGGATGTAATAAAGTGGCAATGTGTGATTCCAGAAAATACCCATACCTATACCATGGGCAGTGTTTGGGAATTCCGAGGGCAAGGGGGATTCTTTGAACTGAAATTCTGAGGACATGGCGGTTTTCTAGAGTGGACAGACAAGAGTGTGACATTGCTGACTACTGCAACACTGCTGACTACTGCGGAAAGCAAGATACAAGACAAGCATTGATCGATCAGGCATGTGTTCATGTTCATTAATTTTATAGAAGAAAAGCAATAAAATCTGAGTTGTACATTAGGCTTCAGAGGTCATAAAGTTGACAAATTTCTTGCTGACCCGCCATGTTTGTTTACTATGCACCAGTGATACATATTCTTAAAGAAACTGCTTTAATCGCATCTGAACAAGTGAATACTGTTTGTAATATCAAAGGTAAATTAGGCTCTAATTTCTATAGTAAAATTTTCAAAAATTTTAAGTGGCTCTGAACCCTACCTACATAATTTTTTTAACTTTACCAAAAGTTGCATCGTACCATGCTTATCAGAGTTGATAATATGAAAAATCTCACCCTGCCATTTTTGAATTATAAGCCCTTAAAGCTGTAATTAAGGGTGTTTTTGGGTCATACTGTTGCTATGGTAACCTATTGCATCACAAGAATGATAACAATGTGTTCACCAATGATTGGGCAGGTTTTTGATACCATGCTTGTAGCATCAAGTGATAGAGAGTGGTTATAACAACCCATCAAAATCTAACTGTTGGAAACTGTTTTGAGCCACCTTGAGACCAAATTGCACTCCACTCAGTTCAATTACCATTATGAATTGTACTACACTGGGTCCAATTACTATTACCAACAATATTGAAAGCAAAACAATTCAGCACGCTGATTGGCTAAATTTTTCTACAGTCTTTGAAAAATCATTTGATAACCTATACTTAAACGTGGGGTCCACCTAAGCTCTACTATCACTAAAATGTAGTTGCTAATGAGCCTTAAGTTAAATTGAATTCCATCGCATCATTATCGAGTGAACGTTTTCAAAAATGACCCAAATCTTGTCGTAGACGAGGGCTGACGCTTCCCAAGTTATTTAACGACAAATTAAGCACTTATGAGAGCGAACTACATCCCAGAAAACTAGGATAATTTTGGAGAAGAATGAAGTCATAACGTGGCCGGTTTGTATTTTATGTCCATACCTGTAATAGTAAACGTCGCTTCTACCAGCTGACAACCCAGACTTTCTCATCACAATTTCACGCTGCCAACCGCTTGGAAGGGTGGGGCACTCCATTCGTATAGGTTTTTCGTCCATGTAAAAGATAGAAACAACCGACAACTACTGTCTTTCGTGGTGAAATACACACGAGTTCGTTCAATTGCCAATCTCCTTGGTTGGTTAGAGGTGCGCGTGGAATTGTGGGTATGCAAGCAAGCGGAGCCTTGGCACGAGGAAAAGGCACAAGCATAAGAGTCTGTCTGGAGAACTGTGGCTAAAATATGAGAGTTGGTATCAGGCGTTTATGGTTAGCCAAATGTTGCAAAATTGAACAACTTGCCCCTTCATATTCAACAACTTATATTTATGTTCAACAACATATATTTATATTCAGCATTTTATATTTATATTCAACAATACGCATTTTCTTTCAACTTCAACCAAAATTCTTTTCATTCAACAAAAATATTTGTTCAACTTCAACCAAAAATA